AGACTGTTTATGGGCAACTGCTAGTCTTTCATCCCATGTTCCGAGTCTATTGAACACCGTCACACACCATGAAAGATATCTGCTTTATCCTAAACAAAATAAAAGAGCCAGTTTGAAATGCACTGTTCATGCCAGATGTCATTAAATAAAAGAGGCAGTTTTGAAATGCACTGTTCATGCCAGATGTCGTTAAAATGGATCGTCAACCATAACGACGTTGTATTTTCCAATTATATAACGTAGTATTTCCCAATTATATTTTCTTCTTCTTGCAATCACTCTTTGCAAATTTAGAACCGCCACATTTCTTACTTTGTCGGCTTCAGAAGTCTCTTTCACTTTTGCAATCGTAAAAATTGTTGCTTTGCCTGTGTTTTGCTGTCTGAATACTTTCAAGTTTTGTCTATTTTCTTTCTTTTAGTTTGGGTTGGGTGTACGATGATGTTTTCAGTTATGTTTTTCCATATTCCTTCCTATACTTCTTCAAATTAAGCCTATGAAATAGAGAAGTGTTTCTAAACCCTAACTTTCCTTAACTTCTCTTTTGTTTAGATGAATTACAAAAGACTCGTTAAATTCAATTTTCTGCCAATTATAAAAAATATACAATACATAATTACAACAATTTCATAAATCTCAACACAAATAATCGAATAATTATTTAATAAAAACAAAACCTTGGGGGCTATGTTGATCTGATAAACCAAGCCAATTTTTTCNACAAAAGACTCGTTAAATCCAATTTTCTGCCAATTATGAAAAATACAATACATAATTACAACAATTTCATCAATATCAACACAAATAATCGAATAATCATTATTAGAAAAACAGGGAAGTTTTATGAATAATAAAAATGAATAGCCTATGTATTCCCGAGCAAAGGCACGGTCATGCCTTCGCCATCGTGCTTGCTGCATGTGCACAGCATGCGTCCGAGAATGGAGGCATGTCGTCCCTCCGTTCCGAGCAAAGGCACGCCTTCACCATCCTGTTTGTTGGACGTGCATGGAGGCACCAGCGTGCCTCCGTACATGTGCACGGAGGTACGCTGTGCACGGAGGCACCAGAGCCCTCATGCATTCGCCATCGTGTTTGTTGTGCACGGAGGCATCAACGTGCACCAAAGTGCCTCCTTGCTGGTGCCGTGCCACATGCCTCCGTGTATGAGAATGAGAATCGAACGCTGTCTGCTCTGCCTTAGCAACGTGTCTCAGTGCATGTAAGGCAGCGATAGTGCACGAAGCCCTTCATGTGCACAGAAGCACGTTGTGCACGGAGGCACCAGAGTGCCTCCGTCGGAGAGAACGAAGTTTTATGAATAAAAATAGCTTATGTATTCCCGAGAAAAGGCCCGCTCATGTCTTCACCATCGTACTTATTGCATGTGCACAGCGTACCTCATGCATGTGTACGCACGAAGGCACGCTGCGCATGGAGGCACCAGAGCGCTCATGCGTTCGCCATCGTGCTTGTTACTCGTGCAGGGAGGCATCAGTGTGCACTAGAGGGTCTCCATGCTAGTGCCGTGCCAGCGTGCCTTCGAAAATGGAGGCATGTCCTCGCTCCGTCCCAAGCAAAGGCACGGAGGCTCGCTGGTGCACGAAGGCATCAGCGTGCACCAGAGTGTCTCCTTGCTGGTGCCCTGCCACCATGCCTCCTTGCATAAGAATGAGAATAAACGTTGTCCGCTCTACCTTAGCAATGTACACTGAGGCACGACGTGCCTCCGTTCTCTTATATGGAGCCGTGCACCAGAGTGCCTCTGTCCTGGTGCAGTGGCAGCGTGCCTCCGTGCACGAGAATGAAGGTACGTCATGCCTCGTTCGCGTGCATGAATGCACGCTCCTAACGCAGCTGTAGTGCAAGGAGCCATTCATGTGCACGGATGCACGCTGCGCATGAAGGCCTCCGTACTGGTGTAGTGGTAGCATGCCTCCGTGCACATGAACAGAGGCACGGATGCACG